AAGTGACGCACCTGACCTTGCAAGGAGTGCATCAAATCACGATTCTGTGTGCTTGAGATAGTTGGAGATCGTTCCCGGCGCCAGAATAGCAGTTTTCATTTTCCCCCATTGACTTATAATGATGAGGTCACGAAAATGACCTGACCTCATATGACCTTTAGGAAAAATCCGAGATATACAAGTTGTGAGACTCATAATGGATACTAGATCCTGCAAGTTTCATTTCCCTGTGACATCTCCTCTGGCAGTGAGAGCGTTGCGAAGTTGCGACATCTGAAGACCGTGCAGAGGTTCACTTATGACGTCATAGGTCAGTGACCTGACCTGACCCAAAAATGCGGTTGGTGTCAGAAGATGCGACTTGGATCAAAGGTCAGGTATGCCAAGTTTCAGCTCTCTATCGCCAGCGTGTTCGGAGCTATCGCGAAAAAAAAAACCCTAGGGGGGGCGGCACCCCCCCCCTCGGCCGGCGAGGGTTATGCTTTCTGTTGTGATGACCTGGCCTTGACCTGAAAATCAAAGTACAAGTTTTTCAGCCTCAGGGTATCTTAACCCTCGCATGTGTAGGGGGGATCGGATGGACCCACCCCTCCCCCCATGGTTTTTCGCAAATAACTCGCGCAAAAAGCGGCCGAGCGCGACGAAACTTTCAGTAGCCTCGAGTTGATCAATTTTACACCTACCCTGAAAATTTCATGACCCTGACCCAAGTGACCTTTGACCTGTGACCTATTTCTCGAGGCCGTGTTTGGCCGGAATCGCGATTCGGCGTATGTCGGCTCACATTAGCCGCGCGTTTGCAAGCTTCTCGTGGTTTCAAACGCTGAAACATGAGATTTGATGCTGCTCCCATGCATTTGGGTACATGTCAAGGTCACCTGAAGGTCAGGTCAGGTCATTGACCTTTGGTGACCTCGGTTCACTTTTTCGAGCTGTACATGTTTCTAGGCTAGTTTTTGGAGCTGAATTCGAATTTAGCATCCATTTGAACATCTACAAAGTAGTTTTAGTGCCTTTGTAACATGTTACGAAGCTGTGAGAGGCGGTTGACACGTACTACGAATACCCGTCACGACGCCTACTGGTTGACCTGACCTGACCTGACCCGACCTGGTCAAAATGCTTGAAGACATCATTTGTGATCAGAACTAACACGATATTCGTGATCAGCACCCCGAAAAACCCTTTAGCAGCCACACTTTCTGACAGGTCCCGATATTCCCGACATTGAGTCATTGACTAATCAACTAATCTAAGTCAATGACATCAACTAATGACCTAGGACCTTAAAATCGGGTATCATCGGCTTCCTCTCGTCACGGGCAACAGGCTCGTTTTTTCTGCGAAGCTCTAGCTCTCTTTACTCTCAATCTCTACTCTCGCCAGCTGCGAGGGCCTTTTTCATAACGCGGACTGTGAGGGAAAGGGTTGATACGACCCCTCCCCCCTGGCGATTGGCTCCTATGACACTGTAGGTAAGACACCAAATTCACAGGGTAGGTGGGCCCATAGTGAATCTCGTCCTTGTGCAACGTTGGTGACTTTAGGCCAATACTTTAGGGGATTTTTTGTGGGGGGCTGGTACCTATAAATGAATATTTTTCTAAAAGAGGGTAAACGATTTTCCCTAATTACTTTTTTCATATCGCAATTCATTCTACTCGGCGGATCACAAGGAATGCAATGACATCATTTCTAGCCTAGCGTAATGCTCTAGCCATGGTGTGCCAAGTCATTAGTAAAACCGTAGTTTGACCTCAGTCGACCCCAGTTGACCCGATTTAGTGTTCTTGCAGCATGCAAACACCAACTTGATGAATACTAAGGCATCACAATTCACAACACACAAACGTTGAAATCGAGCATATGTCTCTCAAGTTTTCACAGTTGGAGCCATTCGGGAAAATTTATTTAGACTTCGTCATGACCTCTAGATGACCTCAGGTCAACCGAATCGGAAAAAACGGGATGCATGTGATGGTATGCGGTGAGCTTAGCATATCCTGAAAGTTGGAATACATCGATGAACAACTCTAGATTTTATGGAAAGAAATAGTGTTTTTCGCAGGCATTTTGACAATGTACCGGTTTTTTACCTTGGGATTTGACCTGAGGTCACCGGAGCTCAGTGCTCCCAGGACACGTGTCAAATGAATGCTTCAAATTGTGTCTGATATTTGGTAGCGCTACGTTCCACGGCACTCACGTCGAAAAGCTCTTCATTCGGTTTCCGCTCCATACTCGTATGCCCAATTTTAACCTGACCTTGTACCGATTTGTACCGGTTTTTGTGACCTGGGCCTCGTTTCATAAAACTCTGCCGTAACTTACACCTTTCCGTAATTCACACCCTTTCAAACTACGGAGCGCAAATGAAGCCGTTTCATAAAGTCACAACTGGAATTGTTTACACCTCCGTAACTAAGCACAGTTGCGTAGTTGCCGTAATTTATCAAGCGTCCTACAAATTACAATTTCATGTCAAAACTTATTTCTTTACGAGAAATTATAAAACAGTTGTGTTGATTTTAAATATTTAAAAAAATATTTATGAAAAAAAACAATATGATTTTGCTGACCATCCTTTATTAAATCAATTTAATGAAAACAGCAGAAAGTCAGCTAAGCAGAAGTGCTTAACTACGAAAGTGGCGCGGCGCGGCGAATAAACAAAATTCCGATAGTGGCCACAAAAAAGCGACTGGTACAGAAGATTTGCAGTTCCTTTTTCGCCTTCCGGCTGTTCTTTCTTCCTCTCGGGCTCAACATGATAAGAGGGATTAAAAATTGGCTTCGAATCTCAACATTGATTCAAATTCACGCAACATTTTTTTGCGTAGTTTACACCACTGATATCAAGAACATGATAAAATATTTGGCGTTAATTACGTCGTTTTATGAAACCCAAATGGCATCAATTGGTCCGGAATCGAGCATTTGCCGTAAATGAAGCTCCGTAATTTCGATGGCGTGAATTACTCCGGTCTCCGGCTTTATGAAACCGAATTGGCATCAAATACGCCAAATCTGGCATAATTGACGGAACACCGTAAGTAATTCCTTTTATGAAACGAGGCCCAGGTGTCCTGTCCTGAAATGACTGACACCTGAAATTTTCAGGATATGTGGCAAAAGGCTCATTCCCAGACGTTGTGCCAAATTTTGCGGCGCTACGCGACACCACCTTTTACGCTATTCGCGAAAAAAAAAACTTAGGGAGGCTGCATCCCCCCCTCCCTCCAGGCGAGGGCTAAGTTGGAGACAGTGATGGGACTAAGATGTTCGTTGGAGCAACTCCAAGCATTTTATCGACCTCTGTGTCCTGGGCCTCGTTTCATAAAACTCTGCCGTAACTTACACCTTTCCGTAATTCACACCCTTTCAAACTACGGAGCGCAAATAAATCCGTTTCACAAAGCCACAACTGGAATTGTTTACACCTCCGTAACTAAGCACATTTGCGTAGTTACCGTAATTTATCAAGCGTCCTACAAATTACAATTTCATGTCAACACTTATTTTTTACGAGAATTTATAAAACAATTATGAAGAATTTAAATCTTAAAAATTATTTATGAAAAAAACAAAATTGAAATTGATGACAATCCTTTATTAAAACAATATATTAAAAACAGCAGAAAGCCAGATAAGCAGAAGTGTCTAACTACGAAAGTGGCGCGGCGCGGCGAATAAACAAAATTCCGATAGTGGCCACAAAAAGCGACTGGTACAGAGGATTTGCAGTTTCTTTTTCTCATTTTGGCTGTTCTTTCTTCCTCACCGGGCTCAACATTATAAAATATATTAAAAATTAGCTTCGAATCTTCACATTAATTCAAAATCACGCAACATTTTTGTGCGTAGTTTACACCACTGATATCAAGAGCTTGATAAAATATTTGGCGTTAATTACGTCGTTTTATGAAACCCAAATGGCATCAATTGGTCCGGAATCGAGCATTTGCCGTAAATGAAGCTCCGTACTTTCGATGGCGTGAATTACTCCGGTCTCCGGCTTTATGAAACCGAATTGGCATCAAATACGCCAAATCTGGCATAATTGACGGAACGCCGTAAGTAATTCCTTTTATGAAACGAGGCCCTGGTCGCGGAGGCGCGGCGCCGTCAGGTCCGGCCAGGAGATCATTAGCTCCCACTGCGTGTCGCACGGGGTGGACAAACGCTACTCAAACTGTGGTCGCCGCCGCCCGCCCGAGCCACCTAATAGCTGGTTATGATGACATATTAATTCGAAATGCCGCGCTCCCGTGCATAGACGTGCTTTGCGCCACTGTTTGGAACCATTTGGCGTAATTAAAAGCGCTTAGCTGACGTTGGGTGTGATTTATTTGCCGGCGGCACGGCGCCGTGTCATCAGCGGGGCGTCGCGGTGCCGATCGCCCGTCATTGCTCGGTCATGCCCGGTCATTACGCGGGGGACCGGGCTCGGTTACTGCCGGTCGACAATAGGCGATGAACGGCACCCGGGGACGCAGCGCCGCTGCTAACGCCCCAGCTCAATCGACCGGAAAAACCAGTGGCCCTCGCGAGGCGACTTCACGGAGCCGAATAATTACGTTGTTTATTTGTGTCACTTAAATTTAATTCTTCGCAATGTATCAAAGTGCATCTAGGCTCTTGATATGCTCTGGCAAAATGATATTCTTACTTAGCTAGATGGAATAAGTCAGATAAAAATGGCGTCATATAAACCTCATGAGGACACGCCGACAGAGGCTGGACACGCCACAAAACCCAATCATCATCGGATAAAAAACGAACTCTCGTTATGTAGGAATTTCCTCAATCAGCTTTTTACAACCAAAAGTTGAAAATGGGCTAGCCCCACAAGTCACACTGCGAGTTGATCGATGCGTCTAAGCTTCTTAATTGCACATAATGTTTAGCGCTCTATTGACTAGTCCTATCCGCGTGCTACTAATTCGTGTTAAAAGTGTCTGTGTGGAAACTGGGTCACTTAAAGTACAATTGTACACATATCATTTCGAAACATTAGTATTGCTCAAATACAAGCAGCCAGGACATATAGTGCTTAACGTCATTTGGCTCAACTGAAGCCGCCCGAATGATGACAATGGAGACAGCACAGCCACGGCACAAGGTGCCTGGTTTGCACGCTCGGCGGCTCACATTGACACACATAGCCGCAGTTAACAGTTCCGGCAGCGTTTAATGATGACACATTACTTAACATTTGTCAGCGGCCTCCGATTTATAGGTTTGCTCAAAGGCCATGATACCAAACTACATGTAGTTGTCTTCAGCAATGGCTGGGGCCGTACGTATTCCTGCATGGCCAATCCGGTGAAGCACACCAAAACTAGCGAGCATAGCGTGACTGTCAGAGTAAAGCAATCGATAATATTTACTCGCGGACAGCCCCGGGCTGCCTTCCATAAATGCTTGTGAAAACAGAAGAGAAATAGCTGCTGGACATTGGGCGATGAACTCGCGATTCACCGATCCCATATAAATCACTCTGTGGGTGGATAATTTTAAGTTCATCATTCATACACCGTCATATCGCACCAAACCACACGGTCACATAATATCGGGTGGACTCTAGAAGACAATGCATACAGACAAGTTCTATACAGACAATGCTCATGGGTTCTAGCGCACTCCGATCGCACTCACCGAAAAATGGATGTAAGAATGTCTTAAACAGTGCAGAATAAAAAATTATTGAAGAAAAATTGTCGTCTAAACTTTTATGAAAGGGACTTTGTATGATGTTATTTTTACCACAAATATAAATGTATATGTAAAAAATATCTTAGGAAAAAAGCTAAGAATTTATAACCGAAGTATGCGTTGTGCGTCCCTGTTCCATGCATCCACGTCAACATTCCTGTTCAGAGTCTAGACATTCGATGATCAAAGACAAATATGCAGTGCCCCCGTGAGACGTTCCAACAGCGTCCTCAAGTGTCCTAGCTCGGGCAGAGGGTTTATGGCTCTCACTTTCTCGTCCTGCTGCGAAGTACGGCCTCGTCACGCGGCTGACGGGACGCTTATCAGGACGGTCACACCACTGCAATTAAATCGCAGCGCCACGCGACACATTTAACGTGGCAGCCAGCTCCTCACGATGGCAAATGTCTCGCACGCAGTGGCTCTGATCGTTTACTGCAATGCTAAGCTGAATGCGATTTAATGTTTGTCACATCACCGCAGTTCCGCGACTCAGTATGGTCTCTACACGGGACAGTGAAAAGCCTGGCCCATCAATTTGTGAGGCTCGAAGCTGCTTTACCGCCGACAATCACGTAAGTGGCACATCTGCAATGTTTTGGGCAGTGCCGGCACTCGGCTATGCGCAGTTCTGGCACATCCCCGTCCCACTGCGAGCTGAGAGCAGCCACAGTTCTGGCAGCGTCAACGGCAGACGCCGGTCCCGCTTTTCAGCGATCTCATCACTGAATTGGTTCGCGGTAGACACCGTGAATCTTGAATCACACCCAGTTGAAACCTGAAAAACAAGAAAAGCACAAATGGTCATGTAATTATCATTCGCTTTCTAGCAAAAAAGCACTATGTTTAACCTTCCAGGCGGTGGGGGGGGGGGCAATTTTTTGCCCCCCCCCCTTTACTTTTTTCGATATATCTCGAGAACCGCTGCGCCGATCGTCACCAAACTTTCAGTACCCTCCCGGGAGCAGCTAGCGCACATGGTGACCAAAAATTTTTCCAAAGGCTATGATAGGTTGGCCGCTAATGACGTAAGAGTGACGTCATTTTTGCCATTTTCGACCCAAAAAAAGGTTTCGCGGGAAGAGCTGTCAGGCCTACAGCTTTAGAGATACAGAAAAATGTTTTAGACATAAAAGGTGTGGAATCAAAAGGGCTACAAAACTGCTATTTCGGTTTTTCGAATTTTTTGGATTTTGACCCCCAAAAATCAAAAAATAGATTTTTTGAATGTAATAGCCAAAAAATCCAAAAAGTTTTTTGAATTTCGAAAAAACCGGAATATTTGTGATAGTCCCTACCGCCTTCTATCTACATACCAAATTTGAGATCGATACCTCGTTTTTTGGCCAAGTTATAGCGAAAAAACTGTTCAAAATTGATGACGTCAAATTTTCAAACTCAATTTTTAGCAATTCTAGACCTCGTAGCGCAAAACAAAGACCACCATTAGACTCCCCGTGACGAGCTGCATCGAATCGATACCCATTTTGTGCAAAAATATCAACTTTGAAATTTGACCTTTTTTGACCTGACCTTGACCTGACCTCCACCAGAAAGTGACCTAAACCGTACCTGATGCTCTTATAACCAACACCATTGAGTTGGAAATGAAAAACTGGCCATAAAACATGCATCACATAACCTTAGTAAAGTTGGGCTCATGTGGTGACCCTTGGTGACCTTTGGTGACCTGACCTGTGACCTGACCTGGTATGACCAGTGACCTCTAATAGCAACATATGTACTGGACAACTGACGCCTTATCGCTGATTTTCGACAAAATACGTTTTACTCGGTGTTATAGCGCTTTCCCTACAAGCCCTGTGAACGGTGAAACATTTTATCTTTGACCTGACCTGTGACGTCATCGGTGACCCCGAGGTCAATGAAATTTGGTTTCCTTCGACAAATTTGACAGGGCTATCGAACGCCGTTTGAATTTTTCGGATCCGTCCAGTAGTTTCGGAGATACGGGGGGCAAAAAAGTGCCCCCCCCCCCACCGCGTGGAAGGTGGCTGGTAGGCCCACCGCCTGCCGGGTTAACGGCTTTCACGTAAACGTTTTTTTTTCTCAGTTATATTCCAACCCCTAACATTACTGCTAGTTCAATACATGTACCTAGCTGTTGGAAGACGCTCTGATTTTCTAATAATGCTTAGAAAACAGAAAGTATGCTTCTGTAAAATACAAACACCTCAAACTAAAATACAGACTTTTGAAAAATGTTTTCCGAGCTCGGTCAAAAACAAACAGACGTTCGTTCAAAGCAATCAACAAATAAGGTCTAGCAAAATTTTGATGTCATTTGGACAACCATATTAAAATAACTATTCTGTCGTTACCAGCGATGGTAATGATGGACCACATCTAGCATCGAACGAAAGACCACGAACTGATTTGTGACCCGGACCCTAACTCCGTCTGCCATCAAAGCTCCGACCGACGTCAGGTGGCAGGAACTCACCGCGCAAATCAGCGAAACCAGGAACAATGCAGTGCTACCCAGAAGCGGAACGTGGAGGTCACCGAGGACAAAGTATGGCACCTTGCAAGCTGCAAACTAACAATAAGGTAGTTTGAGTCTGGAAGCATTATATAAGCACTAAGTAGTCTCTCCACGGCTTCCGTCAGGCGTCATAGCCAAGTAGCAGCGGTTGCCGGTTCCGACCTAAAGTGAGGGATGCAATTGCCTATGCTTACCTTGGAATGCATTGGAAATCAGAAGTGCCACTGTCAAAATGACGGGCGGCAAGCTAGACGACGAGCGACTCGCAGCATTGAACCTCCTGGACTCCAGAGCTGAAACACGCACACACAAAATATGGCGTTGTTAAAGCATATGCGTGTATAATGGAAGTAAGCGACAAATGTACGTATTCCAGCGTATAATGAAGCAATCTAGCACATGGCCGTTACACAAAGGTGCCGATTACCGTGCGCCATTCAGCAAACAATGGCGTTAGTTAATTGACCATTAAGGGCCAAGTGCGTGAAACACGCACCCGCGTAACCTCAGCCCACCGGGGAGTGCATCCTGCCCTCCCCCTCCCTTTTGTATGGTGTTAGATTGGTATTAATATAATCGACTCAATTATTGGGACGCAGATTAGGCCGGGGAAACCTAGTAAAATAAATTTTGTCCATCCGTCCATTAGGTTTAAATAACAGTGTATGCGTTTGAAGTTTTAAGTTCATTAGATAATAATGATATGGCCACCGTCGGAGTTCCAGCATTTATCATTTGTCCGTGAATTTAAAACAGTCTTGTGGTAGGTATATTGAGAAGAAAAAAATCATGTACGTAGTTAATTCCTGTTTGGAAGATACGGCAGGATAAGGGCTGCATTTCACGTCGACCTGCTATGAGCTTACTGAAGAAAGCGCGCGTTAATAGACCGACCATCGCGTTGGTCGGTCGCGATGGTCGCGAATCGCGATGCATTGCGGAGCGGCACGCGTTGCTCAGTGATCGGACGGCTTTGAGACAGAGCTGGAAGGCAGGCTGCGCCGCGGTACATAAGTGTACGGCGGGCCAGCCTACCGCTGCAGGCAGCTGATTCTCGCCCGTAGCGTCACCGCATTGACTGTGGCTTTAGGAAAATAAGGACGTGGCTAGGGACGTTACAAAAGACGTTTATTATGTAACTACTTTTAAAAAAGTGATACTGGCTGCATAAAACACACATGCTTGAATAACCTGAGGGCCAAGGAAAGTATGCATTTATTACCGCAAGTGATTGCTTAACGGAAAACACAACGATTTGTCACTGAAATAATTATCAAACCTGCAATATACCTCTTACTTATCATCTCCCATCTCTCTCCTCCCGCTCTGATCCCATTTCCACCTAACCATCACCTCATCCCCTCTCGACCCACCTTCTCCCTTAGCCAGTGTGGAGAAGTGCACCATGTCGGAGACGGCGCTCCAGCCGTGCCGGTTGCGCGCCTGCACGTGCACGTCATAGGTGGCCGCCGGCGCCAGGCCTGTCAGCGGGATCGACTGACGGTGCCAGTGCGCGTCGACCACATCTCCGCCGATGTGCGGCACGAGCACCTCGCGCCAGCCGCCCGAGGACGCCGACGAGCTGTTCTGCTGTGGAGAGAGAGAGAGAGAGAGAGAGAGAGAGAGAGAGAGAGAGAGAGAGAGAGAGAGAGAGAGAGAGAGAGAGAGAGAGAGAAAGAAAGAATAAGTCACCTTCTCGCTGGTCAGCGTTGGTGATATTCTGCTACACTGTTGCTGATAACTTTTCATGGATTTATATGATTTATTTTAGATGTTTATAAACATCCGTAAAGGCCGCCCCACACTGGACCTCGCATGCAGGTTGCGAGTTTGCGGGTTTTGAGTTTGCGGGCATAATACTAATCATAGAGTGATTAGACCGTTCCCTTATGGTAACTTCATGAATGCAGTAAAGCCGGCACACCTTCAGAAAATTACATATTGTCACAATACCAGCGCGACGAACCAAAATTCGACTCCAACGAAAAACCCGCAAACCTCGCAGAACTCGCAGACCTCGCAGCGAGGAAAATCGAAAGTTGACTCAAAATAAACTTTTGAAATGCGACGCAAGGTGGCTCGCAAGCTGAAAGCATGCAGACTCACTTGTTAGATGGTAGTGTGGCCTGTGGGTCATTCAGCTTTGATTGTATTATTTGCTTTTGAAGAAACCCGAAAACCCAAAAACTCGCAACCCGCATGCGAGGTCCAGTGTGGGGCGGCCTTAAGAGAATGTTAAGCGACTCAGTAAGGCAAATGCAGCCATATGCAGCTCCATTACAAGCTTGGAAATGCAAGGATGTATGCAACGACACAACATAGTCCTAAATCGGTGGTTGATGCTTTGGATAGAAGGCGGGATGACTGGCTATTTCATCTGTTCGTAACTTCTGCGAGTCATCAGAACGAGAGCATCCTGGTCTACTTTGGAAGAATATTGGTTCCATTCCCGTCAAACTTGGAGACCTATGGTCATTCCATCCACTGATAACTAACTACCTCGTAGAAATTTGCGTGCTACGAGAATATCAGTCTTATCTGTCAAAGCATCCAGACCAGCATGGATGCCCCCATGCATCACGTCGACTAAAGTAGCCAAGGCCAGTCGCTTAAATCACCGGCCAAGTTCTGAAACCACTCGGCCGTGTGCCACCCCTATACACATACTCATTCGAGCAAGACGTCGCTCGGAATTCGGACACAAAACTGAATGTTCATCTTCCATCATACCATATATTACTGTCAGTGCGTTCTGCTAATGAGTCACTCTCTGAAATGCAGGATAAATAGCAATTCAGTGTGATTTGATATCACTGGTGATATAAGAGTTTACTTTTCACCAGCGTCACGACAAATCCATATTTGCCTTAGCAGACTACACCTTTTTAGCCGCGATTTAAAACAGTTGAACTCCATTTTAAAAAAGCTGATCTGTGATTTAAAACTGTTGAACGGGGTTTTAAAACACATGACTTCCGTTTTAAAAGAATTGAATACGATTTTAAAACAACTGACGACGATTTTAAAACAGTTGAATTTATTTTTAAAAGAACTGAACTGCATTTTAAAAAGCATGATAGGGTCGGTAACACTCCAGCTACACTAATATGTAATGATAATAGCTATATGCTCCCCCGTTTTGCGTCGTCTGCTAGAATTGAATGAAGCACTGCTTCTTCAAACCGGAAGAGTTCGAGTAAATACAAAATGTAAAATGTTGTTCTCGTGACTTTCCATTTTTCCACTTTTTCTGTTCGGTATATATGCAAGACTGCCACTCCCCAGGGCACCAGGCCATGTATAGGTCACTTGGGTCACTTGTCACTGGGCTCAACGTTCGAGCGACTGTACATATACATAGATTCTACATAGTAGGTATTGCATTCACTTTATAAAAGGCATATTATATTCGCATTTACTTTAAGTAAAGTATCTACTTTAGACAATGTCATCACCCAGTATCGGTGACTTGATTAGTCACCGATGATGAAAAAACTGTCACTGCTGTAAGAGAAGAAATAGCTCAGGCGGCTGCATAAGCTATGCTGGGTGCATAAGCTATGCTGTGTACCGGCTGCATGTAGAATGCCCGAAGATATGTAAAGATAGATGCGTCACAAAAGCATGACGATTTTCTATGCAAAGTTACATGTGTACATATTTTCGAATAATTTCTATGTTAGCTAACGACTGTTAAGCAGTGAAACCACTCGGACAATGTTATCTGAATAGCCTTGCAATAAATGCAGTGGGATTTTTTATCTTTAAAAACGTTGCAAAAAGCAATAATCAGAACACATCGGCAAACAAAAATTAGTTACACTTTCAACAGAAAAGGCAAGGTATTAGATAAGGTTGCATGACAACAAAATGCATTGTGTTAGTTATAGTTAATTATTAGTTATATTATTAGCTATTATCATTATAAGTGTAGCTGGAGTGTTACCGGCCTTATCATGCTTTTTAAAATGCAGTTCAGTTCTTTTAAAAATAAATTCAACTGTTTTAAAATCGTCGTCAGTTGTTTTAAAATCGTATTCAATTCTTTTAAAACGGAAGTCATGTGTTTTAAACCCAAGTTCAACAGTTTTAAATCACAGATCAGCTTTTTTAAAATGGAGATCAACTGTTTTAAATCGCGGCTAAAAAGGTGTAGTCCGAGAGCTCCGCCGAATTCAGGCCTCATTTCAAATGCGTCATAAGTCTCGCGGCGGGCCCAAGTTAGCGTTACGGACTGCCGTGCCGCGCCTGTAGTTGGGTCACGTCAGGCGCGTGACGGCGCCCTGCCGAAATCCAGCACCGCCATTCATAAGCATTTGCCGGTCGGCCCCAGCTCGGTGGCGGCGACACGCGCTCCGTCCGCCGCCCCGGAGACGCCCACACGGTATAGCAGCCCATCGCCACTTGAGACCGCCGTCTAATCGCCCGGAAATGTCACCAAAACGGATCTATGGACACGTGACCATCAGTCACGCTGACGCATCAAATCCGCTCCGCTGGAGCGCTATATGACACCCTGGCGACGCAGGTGACGAAGGCGCCGCCGCTCCGACACCGTTCGTTTCTGAGCGCCATTATATGCTGTCAGGCCGAGTCGCAGTGAACAATGACCGGGTGCCGGCGGCGGCGGCGGCACACCGAGCCTGTCGATACGGGAGCGACGCCGACGAGTGGCCGGCCGCCGACTTTGGACGGCTGTGGCCAGGAGGTGGGTATTGACTGAGAGACGAGGCTAGGGTTATGAACGATGACGTGAAGACTGGTGTGCTGAGCAGTGCAGTGCAGCAACAGCAGCAGCAACAGCAAGAGCAATAGCAGCAAGTGGACCGACTGGATATGTCAGGAAATAAAGTGGCCAGGAAAAGCCAGCAACTCTTTCGGATAAAGACGGCACTGAAGATGTGCGGTGGCCTTAGAAAGTTGGCGGTATTCACACTCAAATACGACTTCCTGGCTGAGGCGTCTGCTACGAACTGTTGATTTGCAGAGCCGCCCAGCAACTCTGCTACTATGCCCATAACTGTCCATGTATGCATGAATTACCATGGCTGTTGGCCACTGGGTAATAATTAGCCGAGATATGGCTGGCAACAGCAGTCACCAGGGACCGACAATTCAGCGACTGTCACCTCCAACTACCACAGAGGCTGGCTTTTAGGTCAATCGCCTGCCGTTAACGGGCGCCGGCCGTTGGCTAGTGGTCAGGCACAGCAACTATTTAGACCGGACAGATACCATACACCTCGACGGACGACCACAGAAGCACGTGTCAGATACCCTACATCGGAACCGCTGACCGCAGCGGTTGGTCAGACAACGCGACCGCCGACCGCAGCGGTTGGTCAGTGGTCAGACACCAGCCACCGCGACCACCTACCGCCGCGGCCGGCCGTCAACAAATAAAGGCCCTCGATACGCTCCAACACAACCCACGCAGTGTCCAATCACCCGGCCCAGCAAGACGTCTACAAACCTATAAAACTTTAAAGACCAGTCCTAAAAACCTGATCACTAGTCCAGGCCACCCCGCGGTCTGGTCATTTCTCAGCGGGGCCGCGGGACGGGCGGGTCGATGAGCAGCAGTCCACAGGTGTTGCCGCTCCGCACCGTCTCAATGACGGCGACCCCCTCACAGCCCCATACCCCACCCCACCTGAGGCGCCGGTCCAGTAGTGTGTGAGGTGGTATACGGGGTAGACCAAACGGTGATGAACACCTTATAAGGTGTTCCAGTATACTGGCCATCGGTGATAGCATGTTCATGTACGATATGAATTGCTGTATTTACAATAGGTAAATGATTTCGTAGCTAGGGCACGGCTGGGGTTTACGATGGACTGTCGTCAGTGCCTTTAGGGTCCTGACATTTCTCTTTTATAAACTGCACGACTAAGTCTAAGCATGCAACTTGCACTCATTTACCATATTCCACTGATATCCCTCTTCTCTGCACAACTCGCTAATGTCCATTCCACAGTCATATTCCGCTCTAGTGACATTTAACTTCACTACCACATCCCACTAAGCGACATTCTACTTTACTGTCACATCCCATCGATGCACATTCCGTTCCATTGTCAGATCGCACTCCGCTGTCAGTGACACTCTATTCCCACTCCGCTGTCACATCCCACCGAGTGACACTCCACTCCCAGTGACACTCCACTCCCACTCCGCTGTCACATTCCGCTGAGTGACACTCCACTCCCGTCCCGTCGGACAGCAAACAAAGACGCAGCTCACCCTGGGGTCGCATGGTTCAGCATCAGCCCGGCCCGGGATGCCGACGGCATATAACGGTGTCTCGTTTGTCCGCAGTATTGCTGCTGAGAGAGCCGCTGGGCGCAGCGGGCCGCCGGGCGAGCCACTTGGACCGAGACCGAGCGCCGTCCTCAGATCCAGTGATATCAGCCTTAATAGGACGCCTGAAGGTATATGGTATTGTGTGGCATGCAATGTAACCGAGAGCGTACACTGTGCATATTGCATATGCTTGGTAGCTGACGCGAGCATCACATAAATAGAATGCATCGCTATCCCGACGCATAGATGTTCGCTTTTCTTTGTGGATAACAAGTTTCACAGTGTTGGGTGTAGATAAATAAACACAGTCGAGAAGATTATCCTTCATGTCCACTTAAGTCCCTACCTAAATTATCACGTAAAGCTGACCCATTTTGTGGAGAAACCTTCAACGTTGCGTGTTCCTTAGAGGCTCCCCTTCGTTATTTTAGGAAAAGGGCCAAGCAAAGCCTATAGTCATACAAAGTTTGTGGCCATTAAGTGTCTGTCACATCTTTATATGTTAGGCAATCCTGGTTGACGCGCAATTTGCAGGGACGTAGATGTTAAATGAAACACAAATGATAAATGCTAGACTTTTAGAGCACATACGTTTTACAGCGTAGCTGTGTAACTAGTTATACTAAAAAATCTCCTGATATGGTAAATGGTTTCAAAATGTAATTGCATTGCTATCCTCAACCAAACCATTGAGTATCTATTAAATTCATTTTCCCTAAGCCGGAGAAACCTGTGGATCAGTGCAGCCGCCTTTCTCGAAGATCACATTAACACCATAGCTGACATCTTTCAACATCAGTGGTCCCTTTGTTCCGTCGACCTTTGACACCACTACCTGCGCTGTGCGAGGGTCTGATAGAGTTCACTAGATCAGTCGTAGCGAGCAGCCGAACTTGGACACGCTGAGCAGCTGGATCTCGGACCACACCGAGCCTATCGCGCGTCTGGCTCCTATCGTCGACGCGCGGCAAACTTGTTCGGTTGGGCCAGCGGAGACGACGGAAGAATTCGTGACCACCGCGCCGCGCTACTGACCAACGCAGTGACCCCAGGCCGAGACGTCGCTGCCACTTATCTCGCTCCGACTTGGACTTTGTCGCTCTAGCCTCCGTCCGAGGTTCTCCTCGCTCTGCCTAACGCTTATCTCACGTTGCTAATGTTTAGCTTCTCGCTTGTTCTCTTATGGGATACCTCGTCTAATGGCTATCATTTTGTGGATAACCTGCTCCAAACACCTTCCATCTTACTCTACCTTCCTATTATCTCGCCTTGATCGACCCTCCACCCATGCTTCTCTCCCTTTCTCTCACCCTGCTGACTCGCAGCTCTCTACCCACGTTGATCCACTTGTTTACTCACCCTGAGTATTGTCTATAGTTCCCCTTGTTCTGCCCGTATCTCACCTTGCTCTGTCGGTAGGCCACCTTGTACTCGAGTACCGGGCTGAAGCTGCGTACCGTCCAGCTCAGCTGATAGGAGTCCGGCGCGGCGCCCATCGCGCTGCTCGTCACCTGAGCGCGCTCCGGGGTGCCTGGGAACACACGGGGGCGAGTGAGGCGAGTGTCAGGAGCACTCTGGGCGTCAGGCACGCTCTGAGTGCCCGAGGGCGCTCGGAGGCGAGTGAGCAACTGCTAGACATGCTCGTGAGACGTGAGTGACTGCAGGTATACACGGAGCGCACCAGCTGGCGACATTGTCCGGCCTCCACTGGGTAGGGACATAGCGCCGACAAAGACCATGCTTAATGTGTCCCAGCGGCGCCGTAGAGCCGTGAGCGACGCTATTTTTGGTGAAGCTGTAACAACGATGTTAATCAGCAACGGCATTTGGGATGTTTTAAAAATTTTTAATTGAAGACGAAACAGATTCAAGTAAAACACATTTTGCTATGCATAAGGAATGAATATCATACCCATATTGCAACTTTATATTATATTGGGAAAGGTTGAAACATTCACAACACATTAGCCGTTTGCGTTAGCCAATTGGAACTCGTCTAAAATCGGCAAGAATATGTTATCTACCACTTACCAATCTAATGTTCTCGGCTGAGAGATGCTTCAAACCGTTATCCCCTTGAGAGGCTTTGAGCACGAGATAAAATGACGCGATTCTCTTTCCTAACGCTGTTTTTTTTGCGAGAAGTCTCATATAGGTACTTCAAAGCATCTGAGCTAGAGTGTACCCATGCATTTCCATGTAAGTATCGTTGTAGCTTGAATCGCTGTATTTCGTTCACGCAGCTCCAGCCTGCGGCAACCACTTACCAAATTGGAAATGCCGGATGAATTTGATGAGCAGTCTTCAATACGCACACACAGACACACAAACACCTTCCCTTTACAAACTCACGCAAACACGGGCGCCTGGGCGGTGGCTGCCCTAACAGCACGTGCTGGAGGCGAGGCACAACAATAGACCCGTCTCCCCATAATAGGCGCCGTCTGCCACGGGTACTCACAGCACCAGTAATTGGTGCAGGCGCACCAGCTGGTGAGAACGTGACTTGGGGAGCTGGTGCCCGGCTACTGGTGATAAATAGTGCAGACACAGTTGCGTTCAAAAATGTAGTCCCAGTAAAGCTGATAGGGCCTCAGGCATTTTCAAATCATGGCATCTTCGGTGCAATGCAATGATAGCTATGTGTTGCATAAGTAGCCCACTATAAATATTTACTCAGTTTGATGCTACACACCATAAATATTTGCTTAAAAAAACACGCGAAAAATTATTTAGGAGATGGGCTAGAGCATTGCATTACATTTGCTAGTTTTGTTGCTAGTTATTAACCGGGAGTAAGAATAAACTACGCGATTTGTCTGATAGTCATCGTTCCGTTCAACAGGCAGATGCAAAGGGAGATTGCAGAACGCCGGAGGTTGCGCATGGCGTTACATGAAGATCCAGCCTTGGAAGATCCGGTCTTTCGGCCAGCTAAACGACGTTAGTGGCGTCATAGGAAGGCCCATTCTGGGTACTGTTCTGCGTGACATGTTTGCATAGCAATTCTATGTGCCACTTCATGTCAGGGATATGGTGCTGCATGGTACCAACTGCATGCGCAAACTACCTTGAAGTTCATGACGCGATTAATCAGAAATCACTTAACGATGTAATGTAGGTACCCACTACCCATATCCATTTTTATCCTAAATGAAATCTACACAAGTGTTCGCTGGCAATATGTACAATGTAGGTACAATCATTCGTGAGTCACAATAAGTGCGTTACATAATCATTTTTTTCTGGGAGACCTCTTTCATGCCTGAATTGAAGTTCAGAAGCTTTTATGCTGTATAACGGCATAGAAGCATCGTGCGATGAATAATCTTCGTGAGATCGTTACAGAGGCGCCATAATGCCTTATGCCTATTAAAATGCATCTCTGGCTTTACGTTAACCCGTTATCGATGGGTTTTAACCTTCGCCCCAGTGGGGGAGGGGGGGGCATATGTTACCACCCTGTCGCGTTTTTTTCGTATAAATAAAAAACCGCGGCGCGTAGCGCCGCACCGCTTGGGGTAGCTTTTGGTACATCAATTTTGGACAATGTGTGAAATTTTTGACCCCAGGTCATGTCAGGTCAGGTCACTAGGTCAAGTTAACTGACCAAGCCTAAAAAAAGTTTGCAATCATGTCCAGCCTGCAGTGTTTGTCAGAGAGGTTTCAAACTTGGTGGATTACATGATGTTATGGGTGCCTACAATTTGTGTATCTCGGATTTTTTATATGCGTGACCTAAGGTCAGGTCAGTGGCGTGACCTTTCCATTATAAGTCAATGGAGAAAAACGAAAATGCCTCTAGATCCGTGTGTACGCATAGGAACAGTCCAAATATTTCAGGATAACAATGATTTGGACCACCCGTGACGACCTAGGTGTCTTTTTTGCTGATAGCCTCTTGAAAGGTCATCCGAGGTCATTTGAGGCTACAAACAGTTTTTTGCCAATAACTCTCGATTGGAAAGAGATAGGACGCTGGAATTGGCCTCATTGTGTTTGTCTTGCCGAGACGCATCGACTGATATGCAACATGACCTTTTCCGGTCAGGTCATGACCTAGACCTGAGGTCAAATTTTGAAGTTGACCTTTCAAGGTCAAATTATAGTTCATTCGACGCGTCTCGGCGAGAGGAACACGATTCTGGCATTAAAAATGACCTAGCTTTTTTTAGTCAAAAGTTTTTGTCGAAAAACACTTTTCTTAAAAACAGCTATTTTTGGAGTTTTTGCCCTCTGGAGGCTAAACCGTTGACCTGAGGTCATTTTTGATGACGACCTTATCAAAAGAAGAGTTCAAAAGCTATCGATTGCTTTTCCCAGCGTTTTTCTAGCTATCATAGTTCCTGAGATAATGACATGTTTTCTGAAAAATATAATGACAATTCGCAAATTCTTACCTTTGATGACCTCTGGTGACCCTAATATTGCTCTAAGATGAAAAATGACCTTAATACTTTCAAACGTACGCATCAAGAGCTATGGACTGCTTTTTACCGCGTCTTTCTAGCCCTCTTAGTTTTTGAGTTAGAGGTGGGTGGTAACATATGCCCCCCCCCCACTAGAGCGAAGTTGGCGGAGACCGCCACTGGGGCGCGGGTTAAGACTCTTCCGTTCCCATTTCCGAAGCCCAGGCTGCATTTTTAGTCGATGCGTGGCAGCAGTAGGAAGAGCTAAGAGCGGACCGATGAGGTCGCCAAGATTACCTAAACTATGCCTATTCCTCTGGTCTCGATGTTAAGGATTATCAAATGACAGCTGTGACATGTAAGTCCTTGTATGACCTAAATTCATTTTAAAAGGGATAAAAACGTAAAAAATACGCAACATTTCGCATTTATTGCTTAGTCATGGGTGTTAACCACACCCATGACTAAGAAACGTTGGGTATTTTTTGCGTTTTTATCCCTTTTAAAATGAATTCAAAAGTATAGGCCATACATGCACTTATATGTCACCTCTGGTTTCGTAGACTGCAGACTGCATAACTGTTGCCTTCAGGGGCTGTGAGATGATATGCCTGGTTCGTTGCCTGCTGTTTTAGTCGGAGCAGGCATAATTACTTATACCGCATAAGTAAAGCATCTTCGCCCCCCCCCCCTCCCATTCCAGTACCGGTCACAGTGTTATTCTATGCGCGACTTGGCCGTTCCTGAGATTTGTAGCTGTCAACCTGCCTAATCTGCATCTGTCCTGAGATCTGCATCTGTCAGTTCCCTGAGATCCGGATCTGTCCACATACCTGAGATTTGGATAGATGTCCACATACCTGAGATCTGTATCTGTCCACCGTGCCTGAGATCCGGATCTGTCCACATACCTGGGATCTGCATCTCTCCACCGTACCTGAGATCCGGACCTGTTCACATACCTGAGATCTGTATCTGTCCACCGTGCCTGAGATCCGGACCTGTTCACATACCTGAGATCTGTATCTGTCCACCGGCGGTGCCCAGGCTGTTGGTGGCGTGACACGAGTAGGTGCCGAAGTCGGCCAGCGTCACAGAGTCGATGGCGAGGGTGTAGCGGGTGCCGTCCTCGTCGCCGCCGCTGGACGAGCTGCGGTGGTGTGACGGCTCGAGCAGCGCGCCCTCCCGCTCCCATCGTACCTGACCGGGCGGCGGAGGGGCGAGACAATCGTCAGAGCCAGCCCGTGCGCCAGAGAAATGGGAGGAATCTCAGACGCAAAGGTTCTAGCGCTTTCTAGTCCTCGCCAAACACAGCTGATGTCTAGTGAATTGTAGACGTCATATGACGATTTTTTTTTGTGCGTGAAATGTCGATTAAAGAATCATCAAAAAGCTATAATGCTGTGTTTAAACATGGTCTTACCAGCCAATGGAAGCAATTCGAGCCAATACGTACTTCGAAACCAATTCGTGGAGTAAGGTTTCCTGTAATTACTATGCTACTTCAGAAAGGTGCGGTCCGACATTTTGATTTCGATCGGATAATACAATTACACAAGTTAGCTAGAAGTTATTGCAAAAGTTACAGCAAAACCTCTCATCGTAGACGATTTTATCCCGGCAGAAGTGAAACTGGAGTTTCCCTCGATGTCAAATAAGTTCTATCACCTCTGAGTGCATATTGCCGAGCTGATGAAACTCAGACTGCAGATCACACTGCAATCCCGAGTGCCATTTAGAAAAATGAGCTCCAGCCAGTCGAGGTGCCGAGAAGCCGCATGCATTTGTACATTATGACGGAGCTATACATAGACCAGTTGCTGGGATTTATTACTCAGATCATGGCGTCCGGAGACGAACTACGCTGCCAGATATGTGCGGCGCGTGCTCGCTATCTGGCTAGCATTCTGCTTGAATGTTAGTTGTCCATTGTTTTTATTGCCAGGCGGTATTTTCCCTGGGCTGACGCTACAGCTCAAAAAGTTTTTGCTTCGCATGCATATTTTATCTATCATCGTCATATCAACAATAGACCTTCGTCACATTCGCCGCATCTTTGGTGGACATTATGCAAGCGACCCTCTCGTTAGGTCAGCGACACTTACCTCGGCCTCTGGCTGGGCGAAAACGACGCAGACCAGCTCGGCCCCGAAACCCTCTCCCGTATAGACGACACTCTTGGCCACTTCCACCTCAGGAGGGTCTGTCAACAAAGGATCCGGGTCTGTCACCAAGGGATGTGGGCCTGTCAACTCCGGACACGCAAAACGATTCCGTCAAAAATGGCATTGATCTGTCAGTGAGGGGCACGGTCTGTCAACGGGGGACAACGGTCTTTTAATAAAGGAATGAGTTACATATACCTATAAGCATTAACAATCAACATAGGACATGGGATATCTCAAACACATTTCAATGGACTGGAGCAGCTTCCTTGTTCACTTTACAGACATATAAACAAAAAAGAAGGTATACACGAAGAAGCTGTAGCTGTAAGAAGAAGCTGTACACACAGAAACAAGTCAGTGTAACTTAAGCTGGATACTGATAAAGGACTCCAGGCATGTTAATCCGGCGCAAATGTTGGTCGATTGGTTACGTAAAACCAGCAGACATCACCATGAGACTCGCAGAACATTGAACGTTTGGCACAACTCCAGGGTAAAGTTATTCACCCGTGGGTCAAGGCAAATGCTAGTGAGATTCCGGGTCAAAACTTATGTCCAGCTCAAAATCAGATTTCCAATTATGCAGTTGCATGATAGTTCACCAGATCTCGACTCGTAAAGTTGAAAGGTCACCAGCAAACTTGTTGAGATCTTTGTGATCTTTGTTGGCAACAAGAAGCTTCCTCTTTTGGTACTCGGCGGAGGCGTGATACATCTTACAGAGACTTTAGAATCAGCATTTCATGGACAGCCAAGCAGAAGGTCGTCCCAGCCCTCTAATACACCTTTGTTGTCTGTCAGCACGTGTGGTGTGCTGCTCCGCGGTCAAAACCAGAGCAGGACATGTCGGTCGACGGTCACTCACACTGCACCTGTAGGCGGACGGAGGCCGTGCTCGGGTTGCCGACGCCGTTCTCTGCCACACACTGGTACACACCGGCCATCTGGCGCGTGGCACCCGTCACCGTGTACTCGCCGGCCTCGTGCTCCGCCGCGCCCGACGGCAACGTGCCACCCTGCAACACGGTCTCATGGTAAGATGGCACGAGACTGGCACATCATTGAATGGCTTGGTTGACAGGATGAAAGACTTAAGGCCTGGCTACACTATGCGTTTTCTGCGTGCGTTTTTTGCGGGTTTGCGTTTTTTGCGTAAATTCGTTCTGGAAAAAAGTTGTAAATAATATAACTTTTACATTAGTTTTATAGGTACAAAAGTTAATATAACTCTTATATTAACTAAAATTTAAGATAAAAAACATCACAAAAAACGTAATATTGTCTTTTTCTAGAACGATATTACGCAAAACACGCAAACACGCAAAAAACGCACGCAGAAAACGCATAGTGTAGCCAGGCCTTTAGAGGAAAGGCAGGATGACGTCAAATCTATTTTCATCGAGGAGAAATGAATGAGTGATTAAGTCATTGAGGAAGGGAAGGTCAATTGTCCTTACTTTACTGAAATGCTTCATTCGTTAGCGTGAACGACCATTCCACCTCAGAAAAGCCCCGTCCCCACTTACTTGTTTCCTCCACGCTATCCGTGGCGGAGGATTACCAGAAGCTTGACACGACATCTCAGCGGTCTCGCCGAGCTTGACGACGAGAACGCCGCTGGACGGCTGGGCAGAAACCACCGGCCCAACTGGGGACAGGTCGGGTCACATAGAGGTCACAGGTCACAGCAGAGGAGTCACAGAGGTCAGACAAGACGGCATAGATGGATAACTGTCAGATAAAAGGAAGAGGGGAAAATGAAGATACATATTTGCATTGTGCGAGCTTGGGTTTACATCAGTGACGGCGGAACACCTTCAGTTAACGGGGGGCACTGCCGACTTTTGGTCCTATTCTTCCCATGCAACGCCCATAGGGCTAATGTTAAAATGTCAAAACCAAAGTGGGGCACGGTGCCCCGGTGCCCCCCTCTTTCCGCCGCCTATGGTTTACATGTATCCACTCTCCTGTGTGATGGTGACAGATTATATGTTTGTGGAAAAAGATAATGTTAATCAATGTTGGATCATTGGATGTGTTCCTGTGAAAAGATCTGTTATTTTGTAAGACAAACGGAAAGCATTGCGAGACAAGTGGAACGAATACTCTACACACAGAAAAATATTAACACCGTTAGCGGTGTAATTGCACAGTACATATCTGAGCACTTGAGGAAAGTTAATCTAGTCCCTTCCCCGCTTAAATTACTCGCGCTTCCAAATGAACACCAGGAAGAAGGTAATAGAACACTGTTAGGAGGGTTGGGTGTTTTGCTACATGTAGTATAACACCCAACCCTCCTAACAGTGTTCTATTACCTTCTTCCTGGTGTTCATTTGGAAGCGCGAGTAATTTAAGCGGGGAAGGGACTAAATTAACTTTCCTCAAGTGCTCAGATATGTACTGTGCAATTACACCGCTAACGGTGTCAATATTTTTCTGTGTGTAAAATCCGATGGCAAAAATACAGCACATCTTATGAGCTAATGAATGAAATAGTACCCACCTCCAGTCCCTCTTCCTGTGTAAAATTACTCGGGCAAGATAACGACGGGAAGGAGCTTAAACCCGCACATTTTCCATGTTGGCTGGATCCTCAGTGCCAGATATAGATAAGGTAAGCGTGAGATTGGACACATTACAGCCCAAATCGAGCATGACACGGTAATCTCATCTCCAAAGCCCATCACAGCATCATATTTTATTCGAAAATCTCCCATTTGCGGCAGACGAGCGCAGTGCAGGCTGCGCCAAGTTTGCCGTCGGGGGTTTCTTACTCATAAATTTGGCAGCCCACTTCCAACAACGACGGGAAGCCATCGGTTCGCTCACGGAAGCAGCTCTTGGCTGCGCCGACACTCGACCAATTTGGTTAAGGGATGTGGCAAACTTTGCTCACATATATCTGCCGAGTGGCCCAGGGCTGTGGGTCACGCCGTTTGGCGTAAACAGGGCCTCCACTTTGTTGACGAGCTGCTCCAGCGCCGCAAAACTGCGACACCAGACACCGCAGTGGCTGGCGCAGTGTGTCGCAGACTCGACGCTTTAGTGCAAGATGAGTTGGAAGTTTGTTGTTCCAGGTTTTGATGCTGTCGATTGCTGGTAGTATCAAGTGAATCAATGCATGTGGTGCTATTAATTGAAATGGTTCCTACTTTCAAACCTGGCAGCTGAGAGTTCCAAACCTTTTATATTTCCACATTATCTACCACTCTTGAGCAGATCTCATCACTTGTGACACAGTCCCATAAAGTCTCTACTAGGTATTGCTCACAAATAAAATTCCTCTTTCATCCGCCCGGCCCTACTGGAAGTCCCGATCCCGTTGTCATTTACCATTCCTCCGCCACCTGTATCCTGTCATCTACCACTCCGCTGTCACCTGTCACCTGTCCTCTACCACTACGCTGTCACCTGTCAGCTGTCATCTACCACTCCGCTGTCACCTGTCAGCTGCCAGGTGTCACTGTCCACTCACAGAGCACCTCCAGCCGATGTGTGAGCTCCGAGAGCGGCTCCGTGTCCAGCGCGCACGTGTAGGACGACTGGTCGGCCGGCTGGACGGCCGTGATCCTCAGATTGTAGCCGTCCACCAGACTGAAGCGGGCGTCCCGCACCACGACCGCCTCCCGCGCGCTCAGCACCCGTCGCTGCCGCTTCCAGACCACCACGAACGGACCTGCAGCCGGACGGAGAGGGTGTGACACGCTACTGACCGGTCAAAGGTCACAGATAAACGGGCCTGACGATGGACGGGGAGGGCGTCACACGCCACTGGCCGGGTACAGAGTCTGGGTAACAGGTCACAGGTCACAGACGAACGGACCTGCCGCCGGGGAGGGCGTGATACGCTGCTGACCGGTCACAGGTCACAGGTCACAGACGAACAGCCGAAAGGGGAGTGCGTGACATGTGCAGTTGCCGGGGATATATCGGACCAGGCAACGTAGCTAAAAATGCAAATTGAAAGGTTTGTTTACGTTGCAATACTGACAACGATACCCACTCAAGAGTCTTTTACGTCGACATAGCGCATTACCAAAGCCTTTGCAGATCCTCTTTATTGTGCAAGTTCCACGAAGGTAGGTTGATACACGGAGGTAAAGATTAACATACATTTGATTGTCCAGAAGATACATATTTTATAAAACCTCAGAATGGAATGCAATAAAGCTACAGTTACCGAGTTCTCTTAGCTGATATTGGTCTTGCCAAGAGACAAATGAAGTAGATATTTTAAGAAAGATCAAATGGATCATGGAGGTAGGTTAGGTAAGCCCGACTACCCAAGCATGTTCGAGGTGCATTACACAAAACGCACGATACCCCACATATGGCGACCGGCAGCAGCCATCTGATTGCGCCCCTTGCACCTAAGTGGCTGACTGGGCGACTTACCTAAATGACTGATTTCGCAGGGTAGCACCACGGTCTCTCCCTGTTTGGCACGGATAGTCTCCGGCTGTGAGATGAAACTGGGCTGCGGCGGCACCGTGCGGACACCTGTAACAGAAGGGCAGATATCAGGGGCGGAGTCCTCAGTCCGGTTCCGGCGGGACCGTACGGACACCTGTAGCAGAAGGGGAGAGGTCAGGGCGCCGTTAGAGTCTCTTAGCTGTGGCGGAAAGGGCCGGACTAAAGCGCAGTCAGTCGCCGGGTTCAAAATTTTCCCAGTTGGCCGGAGTGACCAAAGGCTTTGTGAGGATGAAAAGAACAGACTACTGATAACCTTAAGTCTTAACCCTCGCCGGCTTAAGGGGGGGGGGCGGCACCTGCCCCCCCCCATATAACTTTTTCGCGATAGCTCCGAACACGCCGGGGATAGATAGCTGAAACTTGGCATACCTGACCTTTGATTTAAGCGATATCTTTTGACACCAACCGCATTTTCGAGTCAGGTCAGGTCACTGACCTATGACGTCATAAGTGAACCTCTGCACGGTCTTCAGATGTCGCAACTTCGCAACGCCCTCACTGCCAGAGGAGCTTTCACAGGGAAATGAAACTTGCAGGACCTAGTATCCATTATGAGTTGCACAACTTGTATAACTCGGATTTTCCTAAAGGTCTTATGAGGTCAGGTCATTTTTGTGACCTCACCATTATAGGTCAATGAGGAAAATGAAAACTGCTATTCTTGCGCCGGGAACGATCTCCAACTATCTCAAGCACCCAGAATCGTGATTTTATGCACTCCTTGCAAGGTTCGATGCGACACTTTTGCAATGTTGACCTTGCGTGATGTCATTTATGACGTCATTAGGGTCATATTAGTTTTTCGTTAATAACTGCTGATTAAATTGAGCTAGCGAGTCGGGAAAGCCACCAATGGACTCAGGAACATTTGCCAAATCTAATGATAAACATGACCTCCTTCGACCGATTTCGTGACCTGGGGGCCCTGACCTGACCGTGACCCGAGGTCAACACCCTAAGTTGACCTCACCCAAACAAACAGTATATCATTCGACGCGCCTGAGCGAGGCGAACACGATGCTGCCAGACTCAAGGGTCTGCGGTCGTTTTATGTGAAGTTATTCACAAAAAACGGAACCGTACCTTGGGACACTTGACCTGACCTCAGGGGTCACCGGTTGACCTAGAACCTTAAAATTGGGTATCAATCTCTGCGTCTCGCAACGGCGCACACGCTCGTTTTATTCCACGACGCGCTAGCTCCACCAGGGCCGGGGCGAAACGGCGAGGGGAGTCGTACCCCCCCCCCCCCCCTGTATGTATGTAGTAGTGAACATAGAAAACCAATAGGTCCGGCGAGTGTTTACTCTCTCGCTGTAACTCAAATTGAACGGGGACTTTGCGACACGTCAGCCGTGATATTTATCAATGACGTCATGATATCACACATCTGTATGACTAATGAAGTGCAATAACACAGCTAATGTCTCACCAACGGGAGGTTAATATGCAACATAACCACTCAGTTTTTCGGTCCGGTCGTTTGTACAGTCTCCCAAATAGGCAGCTCACGTTGATATTGACTGACTATAGTGCCAGCGGAATGGCTTTTGTGGTCTGACGTTTTATGGTACCTACTGCCATTGTCGTTCCTAGAAGTCCGTTGAGCTCCTCTTTTCTAGAACAGCAGATGAACATGTTCTGTGGAATCGATCAACGAACGGCCATAAAGTAAACTTGTTACATTGGTATGCGCCTCAAGCGAGATTTGGCATAAACATTCAAATGTTTGGTTCTGAATGCTTACGCCTTTTTCACTAGCTAAGCCACTCCATATAAACCAGTGGATTTTAGGGACAGAGCGGAACAGGAGTGTTTAAATACATCGTAAAGCTGAAACCATTATTGCCACTGCATTAGCTACAGTGGACCTCAGTCACAATTCATACCTTTGACAAGATGGTTACATGATTGGACACAATTTGCTACACAGCGGAGGGATCACTATAGATAATGTGCTGCTAACTGTCACATAACCACCAGTGACAGCCTGCTAACGTTTACGGAAGTTCTATTGTGATTGTATGTGACTATGCCACCAGTGACAGCCTGCTAACGTATACTGATTCTATTGTGATTGTACCAAATTACCTTATCGCTTGACAGAACTGTCTGCAGCTCAGCGCGGCGTCCGAGCCCCGTCAGACTGGCAATTTCCGCCACCAAACTCTGATGTTCAATTGCGAAATGGAGCCGACCAAGACCGTTCCGCTGTCACGCTCCATTGTGAAACGTCACCGCCAAACGTTTGTTCACACGTCATGACGTGATGACGAATATGCCAGCCAAAATGGCGCTGTCTCTGAAAGACGTTTCATTTCCATGGTCTGGCTACACGCCAAGCGATTTTTCGTTCTATTCTTTTCAGTTTCATGCCACCTGCAGCAGTCATTCCTTTAAAAGTATCGTTTATTCAATGATCATGGGGCACTTATCAACTAACACGATATCTACCGAAGTTCAAAAGGACCGTATGACAGAGTCACGGTCGGCCGACAGACAAGTTATATTCGAGCAAACCGGCGGTGGTGTCCTCTCTTATCATTCCCATTAGCGTTTTTTTTGTAATTAGACCACCTACAATAATTCTTCCAAAATAAGCTTGTAAGTCGTAACCAAGTGTGAAAATGCAGCAAGTAACCGACAGCGAACGACCGGTTATACCCAAGAGCCGCACAAGACGCCGTTTCAGCCGGCAACTTGTCGCCGTAATCGTCACTGCTCAGTGGGGCAGAACAGCTCGGCGTTCCCTGTAGCTGCCAGCCTTCCGCAGCGCGCTGTCACCGCGCCTGCACCGCTGCCTGCCTGCCTCTCGGCGGCGCGTCCCGGGGGACCGGCCGCCGCTGCACTCCCCGCCCGGACAGTGAAGACGGACTCGGGTCGTTAGGAGACGTCTCCGCCGCGTCCGTGCGCCGCCCGCGTCACTCCGCCCCCCCCCCCCCCACTCCCACCGGGACGGCAGGTGGGTATGGGGGTGGAACGGAGGTCGTGGAGGATGTTTAGACAAAGGGTGTACTCGTAAGGCTAGGACGAGGCAGCTAGTGGCTGTTTTCGACTCTCGCTTCGTTTTTATCTTGTGTTTGACAAGCTTCACTATTTTTGGTCTCGGGCCTTCTGTCACAATCATTTTGGTTATGGTGATAGGGTCCGCTTTGGAAAGTTCCCCTTCAGAAAAAAAAATCAAGCAGGCCAACTTTGTCTTAAAGTTACTTTTATAACTTCTTTATCAATGCGCATACTCTGGATGTTTTGATAGACAAGAAGCAAAGGTAGGTATTTATTTTCTATTAATATGGTATATCAAGTAGTGAAATTCAAGCCAAATGCATAAGTAAGTGAATTGAAACATGAGATTAATATACATGAGTTTAATCTATTAAGTCACTTTGAATATATTCGTCGTCAAACAGCTAAGCAAAACGCCAGTCATGTTAGAAGTTGCAGCATGAAAAAGTGGACGTAAATTATTAAAAACCCTAAGGATTTATCTTTCGGCCTTAGATCTTGTTGATTTCCAACAGCTACAGTATACTCGCTGTCATCTTTCTTGGTCGACTGCGGGAGGAATCTCGTCGAAGGCAAGGAACGTCTGGAAGCACACGTTTCATTTAATCATCGCGTTCCAGTGTCTTTACTTCAAAGGCTTTGAATGACGCCGTCCTCATAATTAGAACGGTCAGCAAATTAGTTACAAAATCGCTCGTTTAAAAACTGATCAAGTATGGTCTTTTCACGTCAGTTCCGTGCAAAATACATTAACGCTTGGCGTTAGAGGTGCAACCGGCCCCCCGTTTCCTGGAGGTGCCCGGCATATGAGGGAGCCGGCCACAGAGGGTGCGGGCGCCAATTGGAGGCTAGATAAGCGCCAGCGGTCGGGTAAGCAAACACAGTCCGCCCGGCCTGGCGAGGACACTGCGCCGGCCGCCGGGCGCCTCCAGTGCGTGAGTGGCACGTCAGACGGCGGCCGCTCATGTTTTTCGTGCGTGCGCGCTCAAGTCGCTGCGATCATCTCCCGGAGATGGGACGCTCCACACGCGAAAGGGCATCCGGTAAGTCACGCCTTTGCTTGCTGGCGTCTCCCCATTGGGTCCAGGCTGTCACGAGCGACCCCACTACCAGCAATCTTAGGCCCGCGGGCGCTCCGTGCCGGCGTACCTACCGCCCCCTCGTATTGTCGTGTTGAACATTTCAGAGTGGTCCACGTTCCACTTGTGTGTCGATTACTGCCGTGGCGATCACGTGGCGATTACTGCTCCTTTGCTCGTCTTACCGCCGACACGTCCCGCGCCGTCACGCCGCAGCTGACATCCCATGCTTATGTCATGAGAGTTTCTCGGACGGCCAGTCCGCCCTGCCCTACTATAACGCCCATCTCACCCGTCGCCGGTGAGATTTCCCGTCGGCTATTAGGCCGTCACGCCGCCGCTAGCATGGCTTCTATCGTCAGTCGCCTGGACTGTGCCGTCTTATACGCTGTCACGCCGCCGCTGACAATCAACTATCTCGCCCGTTGCACGGCCTGTCCCATCTGTCATACGTGGTCAAGCCGCTGCTGACTACCTCTTCTGTCACACGGACTGTTCGTCTGTCATAACACCGTCACGCCGCCGCCAGACTTCGGTCTTGCCGCCGCCGCCCCTGCCTCGCCCGTCACCCAACATGTCACGCCGCCGCTGACACACCCAACCGTCACGCCCGCTACGTTCGTCGTCACCGCTGTCATGCCGCCGCCGACAGCCCACCGTCACACCTGACGCTTCCGCTGGCTGTCCTGCCGTTTGCCACGACCCGCCCGCCGCCAGGCCGCCCCGCCGGCCGCCGCCCGGCAACCCCTCCCCCCCCGCCGGCCGCCGCCCGGCCGACCGCCGCCGCGGCAACCCCTCCCCCCCCCCGCCGGCCGCCGCCCGGCCACCCCGCCGTCTCTCCGAGCCGGACTGTCACCTGCCACCGCCTGAGGCCGCCGGCCGTGCCTTTGCCTCCCGGCGGCACCTCCCTCCCGCCAGCCCCGCCCCGCCGCGCGCACCCCG